CCAGGAGCATTGCGACCATTTCATAACGCCATATATTCAATCATTTGAACCAGCGATCTCCTGTCTCAAGTGGCATGTGTCCAGACTATCCAGATTCTGTTTAGGAGAGCAGTCAAGATGATGTCTCACTACATGATCTCTTTGGATGTATCGATTAAGTCGTAAAAATGTTGCACTAGCTGTATTCCTTTATCCATTCATTTGGAATCATGATTTTTGGACTGCATGCACATTTCGAGGTCAACTCCGACCCATTGTATCTTGTCTAGTGCTTGTCTTTTGGGGGGGGTGTCACGCTTATTGGTCCAAATAAATGGCCTCCATTTTAGAACATTCCTCTTGATACCCAGTAATTCCCCTTCCAGAATTGTATTTTTTCTCAGCATAATCCGCTCAATCAAGCTCATTTCCCGTAGCGCCGTGCATTCACTACGTAGGTCTAGATCCTAGATCAGGTGCATCTGTCGAAATGTACGTAGTAGCGTTGCAAAGTCTAATTTTCCCAAACTTAATATAGACGTCTTAAAGAACTTAGGTCGGAAAGCAAAGAAGGCAAAGTGACATCAAGGTAATCATTGAGAACATTTTGTGGGCGCACTATTCTATAAAATAGGTGTTATATTAACTAGGCTATATGGGAGCAGGACGATGGATACTCTTGGGAAGTTATGCTCACAGTAGGTCTCTATAATTGCTGTCGCGTGTGTTCTCGTGATATGCAATACTTGACTCTATATTCTCGTGTAAAGGGGGCTCAATTACGTTGAATAGATGGAGGTTGAGACCTCCCTATATCTTGCTCCAGACTTACTGTGTTGTTCACAGCCTAGTGCTATAACATTCCCTTATGATATCATTTCTCTCCTACGAGAAATGACCAGCCCGTTCTCTCTCAGTCTATCAGTCTCTCGCTGATTCCATTATCTCTATTCCATCTAGTTCTAGTTTGGTCCAGTAAACCCACACATGCATTACACACTAAACACCCCACGGTTTAGTTCCACAGTCACGTGCATATGCTATGACGCGACCTAAAGCATGTACCATGGTAAGTTACATGGATAACACAACAATAGGGCTCAACTTACCGGGTTCCCCGACAAGCAATAATACAACGTTCACTTTAACACAGCATGTTCATCTCTATACTGGTACATGATGGGCGAAAGTCTTCGCGGAGGCTAGAGGGGAACTACAACTAGAGGGATGAAAATGAATCTCATGTCGAACGACTCCCTGATGTAACGACTATGGACTAATAAATCGACGGCTGCTTGTGCCAGCATATAATAAATGACCATTCATGTTACTTGGAGTTGTAGTTATGAATAATTTTATAATCGGGTCAAGACTATCGACAGTATCGATGTCTGTGTGGGAAGTGGCGTAAACTTCAAGTAACTTCAGTACATTAATTAGCGTTATTTATAATCTCATGTACTCGACCCAAGGACATCATTTTGCTAGAAAGCTGCCGAGCACTCCACGCTGCCTCTATCATCAATTTGAAATCTTGAGCCTTGTTTTTACATCTTCTTCACTCCGCTCTCATCATCTCGCTTTCTATGCTACAACATGGCAAATTTGAGTGCTTGTGTGGGTAAAACCAGCGGTTTCGAAGCGTAGCAAAAAGCGACAGTGACCACCATAAATAACGGTAGCGGATCACAGACAGCTCCAAAAGATATGAACCTTGAAATCTCAGGAAACTTAAATAGAATGGTCAGATCGATCGTGATGGGAGAGATAGATGAGAAGGACTTACCCTTAATGGAGGATGTGAACGAGGCCGTGAGGGCATTCAACGCGCACATCCAAGATGCATACTCAATTCGTCGAGTGCGTAGCAACGACACAGAGATGTTTGTCCAGTCAGCGTCCCAGAGAGACGTGGCGCTCAACATGCGTCAACCTAACGGACTGAAGAATTTACAGTAAGGCTTTCCAGTAGAGGTTTTTGGGGTCCCACTGCGGACAAAAATTGAAGATGGCAGAGATGCCAACAACCACGCCATCATCAGGGAGATTGAGACGGCGACCAAATCTTGGATTATAGGCCTAGCGATTAATCGAATTAGGCGGCTATTTGATGGAATGGAACACGCGCGGTCAAAGAAAAATGGCCGCATCAGAGGACTAATCGGGGTTAGACTCTTGTCGGAGGCAATGCAAATAGAAGTAGTCCGAAACGGCCTTGTCATAAATGCTATGCATTTCACTGCGCAGGTATGGTCACCATGAGCTCAGTCAAAGCAGTGCTTCAACTGTAGTCAGTGGGGACACACGCAGGTGTCGAGTGGGAGGACATCCAAGTGCACTGGTGCTCACCAAACTCGGGACAGTCCGAGGAAAAGGGTCTCTTGTGCGAACTGCGGAAGGGAATATCGTTCGTGACAAAAAGAAGCGTGTTGGACCTACTATGCTTACAAGGAAAGTGTGGAGAAGGCTCGGATAGAGCTTTCATCAAGCACGACAGATATATGGAATGAAAACCCCCACAAATGCGTCAATGCGAATAAATGGAACGACTGACGATCAGGGACTCACTTGGGTCACCCGTAAGAAGACTGAAGGACTCAGAAGAGGGCCGGGACGACCGCTAAAGATAGTCAAAGCCTCAGAGTTACAAATAAGCTCCGGGGGAGCAGCACCACCATCGGGGCTTATTCTCCGGATACTTCGACCACCAACGCCGAGTGAGGAGGCGCCTACGTTATTCAATTTCTCATAGCATTTATGTGAACGAGGGAGGAGTTAACGAACTCAGGGGAAAGTTTATAAATTTGTGGCTCATAGGAGCGTCCTCCGCATTAAGCCTGGTCGGTTGAGAGTGTCGGGATAGTGGGTTTTATTGCTTGAAAGCCTTTTCCCTTCTTAACATGGCTCAGCGTCTTCAAGGTTCTGTATATAGATCTCGCATGGGACGTTGAACTAGAGAAATGAATGAAAATGAATCTCTTATATTCATTCGCAGGCCTACATAACTCTGAATTTTATACGGTTAGAAATTTGAAATAGAATAAAATAGGTTGCGTAGCTGGGCCTAATGTAGTTGGTGGTCCCGATGTCTAGGCATCGCCTAGCTAGGGCTGCAGGTTTATTGAGACTTTTCCCGCGCACATAGTTTCCATTGTTACGATTTTTCTTGGTAGAAGGTAGCTGAATTCTACAGATAAATACTGAGCTAAGTGGCTATTCATCACGGGCAATATACCAATGACCTTTCTAGGAACATTAGAGGCAAGGGGCACTGTACAAGGAGTGGCCTGGGTTAGAGAGGGGCCAAATTTGCCAGATAGTTATCGATTCATGTAGCACAATAGATACACCTTTCTCTCTACAGAAGACTGAGATATACGGGTTTGTAAACGTTTTACTCGTGCATGGATAAACTGGTCGTCGCACTCTGGCAATGATTCGGCATTGTTGCCATGTGGCCCTTGCTCATCTCAGATAATCACAAGGCAAGCTTGATGTGCTAGGTAAAGGGCACGTTTAGGTTGGGTAAAGTATGTCGGTAATCGGAGAGCTCCACACATGGGTCTTGACAAAAATTTGTCGACAACCGAACGCCTGCAAATGGTCAGTGCTTAGTCGACTGGAGAGCGGAGACAATGAAGGGCTAAGGGCTCCTCTAATTGTATGATTGAATAAGGACATGTGAGGGGTGTTACTGTCAAGGGGAGCTATATGGGAGGCATATGATGGTATATAATACTAGCATACATACACTTGACTTGTATGCAGAGAGTATCTGCATCTCGTATCTGGTCATTAACTCAATAGGACAACAAAAATAACATCTTTACAACACAAATGTAATAGGTAAAGTTTATCTTTATTCCATAGCCATTTCAGAATCCCTTGCAACTGCAAGGGTGGTTCGTTGAAGTGACTCACAACTTTCGGTCTGATGCAAGGGATTATCTATGTTTTTATTGTTTTATTAAGGTCTTAAGCTAAAGCACCAAGTCCACTTTGAGTTTAGGATCGGGGAATATCTATATATGTGTATATGTGTTTATTGTGCTACATGAATCGATAGCTATCTGGCAAATTTGGCCCCTCTCTAACCCAGGCCACTCCTTGTACAGTGCCCCTTGCCTCTAATGTTCCTAGAAAGGTCATTGGTATATTGCCCGTGATGAATAGCCACTTATCTCAGTATTTATCTGTAGAATTCAGCCACCTTCTACCAACAAAAATGGTAGAAATGAAAACTGCTTTCGCGAAAAAGTCCCAAAACCCTGCAGCCACAGCCAGGCGAGGCTGAGAGATCGGGACCATATGAGGTGCACATATCCATCATTATCTTCCTTCTTTCTGACACTGGAGGTCAACTTGATCCAATCCACAATCTCCGTATCGGGTGCTGGGTATGCCCCGATAACTCATCCGATGCCTTTTTCTCCATGATCAAGTGTTGGTGATGAGAAGGGCTTCGATCCTACCATCTGATCTGATCGCGGTTAGCTTCATGATAGTGGTGTTGAGGGAATGTGTGGGGAGATGAAGACGGTACAGACCGCAAAAGCGATGGGGAATCCTCGTCGAAGTGAGGACTTTGTTACTCAATCTCGTTTTTGCTGACTCTACAGTGAAAGCTGGAGGTTCGTAGGGGACACGGCTGACAGGTGTTGAGAATAGTCCCCCCTGTCTTCTGTAGAAAACTTCTACACGTTTTTAATTTACTTCCATGGTCTACCAAGCCTTCTACGCAAAAGTTCATATTTTCACTGACCTTGTATCCGATATAGTTATTGATTATACTGTTCACTGTGAAACTGAATCTGTCAATAGTTAAGAGCCAGATATTGGCATGTAATTATATCGGGGGTATTTTTGATAGTAATTATTCTTAGCATTAATAACAAATCAAAGAAAGGTTAATCTATAAATTTTCAAACTCCGCAACTCTGACGTGCCCACATACTTTCATACCCGCTAATATAACTATGCCCCAAATTTTCAATTGCATCTCATAAAACTTATCCAAAATGTCAAATAATCTCATTACGTTCCCAACCCGTTGGTCGGATGTGCTCAATACCCTTGCTTGGGTGTGGCGCGGCCTTGTCCTTATATTCGCTAACAAATGGATTTGGGTCCTCGTTTTGATCAAGGTTACCTAAGGTGTGGTTAACCTCCCGATGCTTAGCCTCATCAGCGCGAATGTAGAGCAACAGGTCGCGCATCGTCCGATTTCCTTCAGGTATCTTCCAGTAGTTAACTGCAAGATCAGGAATCCGAAATTCTGGGTTGGTCCATTTGGGAAGTAATCCTGCTTCTATATCCTGAATAGCAGTAGAATAGGTGAGAACAGCCTCTTCTTCGAGATATGCGACGAATCGGTGACATGTACGGGGTGAAATGAGGTATGAAAGGAACATGCTATTGAAAAAGACCCCTTGTGCGCCTATTATCATAAATTTCATGAACCAGCCTGGCTTTGCCATTTTGAGGAAAGTCAGCAGATGCATTCGTTCGTTGTAAGCTTCTTCGAGAAGAGTTTCGATCCAGCCATTGTCACGCTTTAGTCGTCGAAGTGAGTGTAAATGTCTTAGCATTCCAGCTACCATACCCGGAACTCCTGCGACTGATTCAAGAAATACCATTCGAATAAGCCACTTGCGCTCGCTCATACGATATGGCTTTGTCAGAACTTTTTCACCATTTTCCTTAATGGTGACAGGGTCGTGCTTATATCCCGTTGCAAGATCAGTGCTAAAGCGGAGGAATCGTACTAAGTAAAGGGCTATGCGATCTGAGAAGTCCTTAGGGGTCCGGTGGGCATATGATATGTTTGTTAGCATCTGCTCTTTAGGGTAGCTATATTAAGGTTAGCTTCTTATTTTTTGGATTACCGGAATGAGATTCACTTTGGATGTGGCCAAGCAGCCTCAGTCTTCTTAATATGCTCATGATCCTCTTCTGGAAAGTAATCGCGTAGTCGTGACCGCATTGTTGATGAAAACGGGCGTAAACATCTTACCTGATTAGTTTTTACACTATTTTGATACGATCCAAGGAATCCCAGCCGGGTCTTAGGAGAACTCGCTACTGCACGAGATATCTGATTGATTGATCGACTAGGAATAGATCTTGAGGGTAGTCTATTGAGATACATGTAGGTTAAATGATAATCGATAGTTTGATGTGTAAGAATATTGAAATCTGCTCGAAGTTATTGTAATCCTTTGATGTACTAGCAATGAAGTCGGGTAGAGACGTAATTTATAGACGTCGTAAATTGATCGCGAACCCTGGATACAATAACTGTTCACGTTTTGAACCCTCAATGTCGTCAACGTGCGTCATACATTCGGTACGAGGATAAAAGTTTCTTTTTTTAACCCCAATCGGAAAGGGTCTCAAAGAGTCTCAGCCATGATCAGTCTTTATCCTCGCTCCTGAAAACGATAATGAAACGAGTATACTGACAAACACATGGCAAAGTCTCAAATCGTCTGGGATTTAGAGAGTCAATTGGAGGCATATTCAAGTCCAAGTTCTGGATGTCCATCCATGTAGAGATTCGTGGCTAAGAGAAGAGAATCTGATGGAAAATGGCGTAAATTGGAGTGTGCAAGAGTAATGAATGTAATGTTGATGTCATAGACCTGGTCTACATGGATATCCCTCTGCAGCGTTGCCGCAAACTAATCCTCGAATACCCGATGACCAATAGCATCAGGACTACTTCGTACATCAAGACCAGTACTCAACTTCGTAATTCTAATCTAACCTCGAAGTCTCCCATCTCCCATCTCAACACTTGACAAACTTTGTGGCAAAACCATAAAGAATAACGCTCCCTACCACGAACACATGCCCTAAAAATTGGAAAATACAATAATTCGTAGAAGACTTGTAAAATAAGTTGAACAACGTATCTTCTTCTTAACGCGCAGTGTCAAACCTCACTACATTCAGCTCAATGGTACGAGGATACAAAGCTTTGAAACAGCTTAGGTAGATTGTGGGTGACTGATGATTTCGAGCTATCAAAGAGCTATACGAACACTAATACTCAATCTCTAACTCATCAATTGTCCGACCATTTTTCGAATAGCAAGTCAACTTGTTTGCCCTATTATTCCTGTTGGTTATCATGAAAAGGTATAGTTCAAATTGCGAACTTGATTATCCTTCTCTTCTCTATCAGCATTGGAAATCAGTGTTTGAGATTTGACTAGGCTTTAGTACAAGCGAGACCACATCATCTTCGCAAAAACAAAACTAGTTCATGGTAAAGACAGGCAGCTCACACCACATCACATTAAATTTAAATTACGATACTTTGAATGGTCGAATAGATTCAAATAATTCCACCCACTCGTTCCATTTACAGAATTTACTGCGCTATAAGTTAGATGCGAAATAAAAATGAACACTCTATAAATAGCGTTTAATATGGAGAAGCTTCTCTCTTTCACATGCGTATTCCCATTGTTAGAATTGAGCAAGTTGATTTTGCGGATTGTTAACTCCGACACGTCTGCATGATGTGGATACAGTGGCAACAGTTGTGTTTTTCCAATTCCGGGGAACTTTGTCTTGACCTATTAGACCAAGGAATTCCCTCAATCGTGCGGTTAGTTCGCGACAGGGATAAGACATGGAATATGTGAGCTCAGCCAATCAAATAGTCAGTCCTTGAGCAGTCGACTCAGTCACGACCTGTCCCGCTCAGAGGTCTTAAGTAGTCGTAACATACACTTGTTCGTTCAGACGTGGAGGGGCTCTACAGCCAGTCATATGAAAAGTATTTCGGACTCGCCCTTGCTCAACTATTTCCGTTGCTCTTTACGAGTCTCCACTGATTACACCAGCTAATGTAAATAGAAGATTCGAAATTTTGTCAGCCGGTATCGATTTATAATTACTCAAGATATCATCTCATCACCGGCGCTTTCATTTCACTCGCGAATACTGCTGGCTCTATCCTCGTTCCCAACATTTGATAACCGTAATTAATTATCAAAAATATCGAGTCTAACAGTTCCCTTGCCCCAAGCAAAATTGTGAAATGACAAGGGTACAAACAATTTGAGGCCATTTGAGAAGTTTTACGGAGCGACGATAATCCCATCCATCCTCACAATTAATGGCCACCGCCCAGCCGAAATTTCCACGCTTGTCTATCTGAACCCTATTTGAGACTGGCTAGCTGCTAATTGTTTCTCACTTTTCGTACACTCAACTTTATCCTATAGTCCCTAAGATCTATTTCCTCCCCTCTTCGGCTCCCGGTCGTGCCACGCTATCCAACGTCAAAGCCAAAACGCTTCAGTTCGAACTTTCAACTACAAGTCTCGCTGTAAAGCTCTCTCATCATGGATCACTCTCACCATATGCACATGAACCAGGACCACTCAAAAATGCAGCATGATCACTCTCACATGAACCATGGTGGCGGCATGGATATGGCTCAAAGTTGTAACATGAATGTAAGTACTAGTGACTTTATGAAGCATTAATAAAATAGAAATTAACACATTTTCAATAGATGCTCTTCACTTGGGATACCTCGAACCTTTGCATAATCTTTCATTGGTGGCACATCCGGAGTCCCATAACCCTCGCATTTTCGTTACTAGGCGTTATAGCAGTGACTGCTCTATTTGAGGCTGTACGTGCGGGGAGTCGGAGGTTCGAACAGATTGTAAAGGAAAGGAAAGCAAGTGTTCCAAGTCAGTTCCCCCGTTTCTTGCTGTCTACAAACACAAATAAACAATCCATTTACACCTTATTTCCTAAATTTCCTGATTGAGTTACCCATCAAGTGACGTAATTAAACATGTTGGCTCTTGCTGGACCTAGGAGTCGAGTTAGCTAGTTATAAGAAGATAGAGATCGTCACGACAATGTCACGGTGCGAGCTGCATTAAGATATCCACAAATTTTTGTATTCGAATGTAGCTGAGAATCCCCCGGATGGAGATGACACGATAACTGAACCGACCACTTTTCCCTCTTCAGGGCAACGATTTATCTTTCTACGTCGTCGCACACACACCATCAAAGCACTTATTTACGCTTTTCAATCTTTCTATGGCTTAATGCTCATGTAAGTTACTTATCACATCCTCTACAGTGTTATACACTTATAATGTACTTCTCTGACATCAGTCATATAAAGGTTGGTATTTATGACTTACAATGGCTGGGTTATGATGTGTATGGCCTTTGGCGCATTTTTGGGTTATTTGATATTTGGTAGCGAAACCAGCGCTACTAAGGATGGAGCTTGCCACTAGGCGAATGATAGTAATTTCGGTGGCAAGACTACGATAATGGCGATTAAACTAACGCCAATCTTGGTTGATAATTAAGGGTAGAATGGTATGTGTTAGTAGTAAAGATTGTTGGCCCCTGCCCGAAAGCTTAGCCAGCGATTATTTAGTTTTTTTTTGGAGCGCTGTGAAACTGCCTGTCACCGTAGGATTATAATAGTGTTATCATGAAACTTAGTTCTATGAAAATATTCAAGTCCTAATTTATTGCGCTTTCCAGGGACATCTGGCCCGCGGTGTAGATGTTGAAAAATTGTCGGTAGTCATTTGTTCACGCGCTTCACGAAAGCCGCAAAAATAGGTTTACTGCCCCTCGCTCATATCTACGTCTGTCCTAAGGGTGTCTACACTTTTTTGCCAGCGAGTAAGAGGTCGCTTACCTTTGGTGGCAGGACGAGTAAACTGCGATCATTTCGTCGATAAAATTCGACAATCTTCATGGCAGCTTGATCTGGAGCGTCTTCGTGTATGAAATGTCCAGTCTCGGGGAAGATGTGCAATGTATATTTACCTGGAAAAGGGTTAGTGCGTAAATAGTGGTTTGTGCAGCCTTGGGACGGGAGACTACCTTGCATTTGACCAATCAGTAGCTCCTTGTCCAAACGATCGGTGCCGGCCAAAAGCAACAACTTGCCCGCCCTGCCTGCAAGAAAGCTCTTACTCAATCCCACGAACCAACCCTTCCAGAATGGCTCGGTTGCTGAAAGATCCGTGCGCCAGGTCCAGGCCTGCGAGCTTGGCGCATCTTCATTATGAACCAGGAGGGCGGGAACACTTATCCGCGCCGATAAAGGATTTCTAATTGTCTGTGAACGAAGGTGCCATGCAATGCCAGCCTCTAGGCTAGGAAAACCCGTGGGTCGTGTAGATAGGTAGGTTTTCATGACATTGAGGGCGTCGAGAGCTGAGCCCTCAACCACGTCCAAGACCACGTAACCTAATAGTTGCTCCTTCAATTTACCACTACTGCCTAATTCAGTGACAACGGCTCCTCCCAATGAATGTCCGAGTAAAACTACAGGTGGTAGGGTTTTCCAGCCCATCTGTATTTTCGTATTTTCTATTACTGAGAAGAGATCCAGACTAAGAGTGGCTAAGCTTAGATCTACTGTTTTGCTTGTAGTAGACATGAGGCGAGTCAACCCATGGTCACGGGCATCTATGGATAGAATTCCAGCCATAGGTAGCTGTTTTCGAATCTCCATAAATAGTGTCGCGAAAGATAAACCTGATGATCCGGCACCGTGATGTGTCACAAATAATGGTGCAGCCTCGACTGGGCAGGTCAAATAACCATGGTGGAGGATTGTTTCAGTTTCAAATTCAGATTGAATGTAGATTTCGCGTTCAAAATAGTTGGTCCATGGGATGGGAGTTATCGATTGCTTGATTCTAGATCTAGGTCATGTCAAAAGGTATACACCAAGACTAGCTAGCAATCAGAAGACTGACACTGGGCGAATTTCTTGTGGCGGTTGATCATGGGGTGGTTTGATGGTGCATGCGGATGAGATGGAAGACTCAGATAAAGAATCGTCGTCGGAATGAGGAGGCGGTTGATGAAAGTGCGTGGTTGCTGTTTCCGTGGATCCTGCTGCGCCCGATTCATAGAAATCTTGAGGACCCAGAAAGGGAGAGAATTTTGGCTTAGCGAACGCTTTTCGCAGTTCAACCATGGCGAAATTTGGAGAAATAGGAACGGGATGAGTGGCAGCGAGAAATTCAGCCAGGTAGCGTGATAACAGCCTGTGACAGCTTTAGGATGTCATGTACACAGGTGCCCAGCAGGGTAACCCTAGGCCTTTTACAGCTTGCAAGGAAAGCACAGTCTAGCTCCCTGCATAGAGTTGCGGATCTCGTAGTCCCGGAATTTGGCATGTCAAGGCATGATTGTACTTCCGTCAGACATTTATTGTGTATTCACCTTTCAAGTTATGACATTCGAGCTATATTTCACGTGGATATTGGTTGAATCTTAACTACTAGAACTCTCATGCTTTAGCTCTCATCACCAATTACCTTTATCAAGTATGACTGTAAAAACAATATTGCCAAGCCTTGTCCGCAAGTATGAACCAAGTGAAAGATTCCCAGGTTTTGGTCATCTAAGCATCTTATTGTTATATTCCACCAGCACAGCGTTAGATATTTTTGGTATTTTTGAAAAGGGGCTAGTGACCTAAAATCTTTTTTTATCATTTCATGTGTACTCAGCATTCAAGCTATGAAAGAGGATCAGTGCTATATATACAAGTTCAATGACTTTTTTGAAGGAGGGCAAGACTGAACACCTGTACGCGGTGTCCTCTACGAACCTGGGAGTGAAATATTCTCCCAGAGCCAAGTTCAGTCAAATTTCGCAATATCAAAGAAGTTTGCCCACGAGGCAAAAATCCAAATTACTCATCCACGTCGTTATTTCGCTCCCAACGACTTTGACTCCTATCTTCGTCTCATCGAGTCTACAAGTACGACCAAGTAAATCCTCATTCCAATGACCACACCACTCTTCGACCTTCTCTGGCCTCAGGTGGTCACCAAATACACGCCCACGCCAATATTTATATCCGACAGAGGAAGCAAAGTGTGGCGCAAAAATCTGGGAGACAGTTCTTTGGGATGGACGTGAGGGGGGATCAGGACAAGTTTACAAAATGATACGGAGAAAGGATTTAATCTCGAAGGGCGTGAGATTCTGAATTTTTGGCAAGGAGTATTACGAATTGGGCCTTGTGCGCGCCAAGACTTCGCTTGCGAGAGTGCAGCTGACACTACAAAAACAAGCCAACGATGGAAGATGTTGTGGTCCACCTCCTGGTGGTGTTCTCCGGTATAGTCTGAGTAGCCTGGGCACCTACTTCACTTGGAAAGGAGACACCTAGGACCATATTTCGCGCGGAGAAAAGTTGAAAGATGATGGAGGCATGTCTGGATAACTCAGGGTTTTTGAGACGTTCCCCTGGGTGGGTATTTACGGATGAGGGTTGACTTGGGGTGAAGAAAAAGCCGCCATAACTTCGCAGTGGTACTTGCAAATGAAATCTGAGGCATGAGTGCTCTTCCTTTACGTTGAATTATCTATTCTGAGCTTTTCTTTGATATTGTGTCATAGCTAGATAGCTGTATACGCAATTCAAATCTGATGCAAAAAAAAAAGACTCTTTTGAAGATGGAGACACTCATTCTCTGTATTTCATTCGCAAATACCACTATGAGGTAGCTTTCTTACAAAAACAGTCGACCCTCATTCATAAGTGCTCACCAAAGGGACGTTTCAAAACCTTTGGTTATCCAAGCACGCCTTCGTCATCCATACATACCAGCGCCGCGAGAAAAGTGGATGTGTTTTGCCGGATTTGAACCAGCAATCTACTGTCTCGAGTGGGATATGTGTCTGATTATCCAGTCTCTACTTGGCAGACCGGCCAAGACGATGTACCACCGCACCACCCAACCATGACGGTCCTCATGGTGTTATCTGCATTCTGACCTCTCATCATGGGCGTGGTTTGGATCTGATCTATTTAGAGCCAAGGTGGGAGATCTGTCCAAGACTTTATATCATAGTATTATCTGTGGGTTGAATATTGTAATACGTGAGTCATAAACCATCTAGCACATTGGGCTCCTCTCAGGCTCAGGCCTTGCCTTGTTAAGTGATTCTGTCCTCTTTTGTTACTTGAAAGATCATTGATAGATTGCCCGTGATGAGTAGCCATTCAGCTCAGTATGTGCCCATGGAATTCAGTCACCTTTTCCACGAACCTCCTAAGGTTCTTGGTGGATTAGATTAAGTAAAAGGTGAGATAAGCCTAGCTCTATGTCGGTTTCGGTTACTGGTTACGGGTATCTCGAAGCTCAAAACTACCAATATGTATAGTTGAGCTTCAGTCTAGAGGTAACTTGATCTTCTAAGTTACAGGATATCGGCTATTTAAGTAAACAATTTCTAATCTTACCTAAACGCTTTCAGGTATACGTAGGTCTGACGCGCCCGGCTGACCGGCTTCTTCGTCATAGGAGAGCTCCGCATCCTGTGGTTTTTGAGACTTTTCCTTGCAGCTACATGCCCGCAAATAGCCATCGCTTCGTTGGCTGAAGAGGGGAAATTATGAGGGGATAACGGCTCCTCTTAGGGTGTACTCCAATGAAGACCTGTGGGGGTTATTACTTCTGGAAACAAGTCGCGAAGGAGGAATATAAGGGAGTATACTACCCGAGGCATAGATACTCTTGGCCTGTAGGCAGAAAGGATCTATATGTACTTATAAAGTTATAGACTCATTGGACAATAAACATACTCGCTCACCGAATAGACCAAAGGAACCGAGCGATCTCTGTGCTATATCGTTACCTCACGAGGCTCCAAATAAGTTCAAAGATCTTTGTGACAGCCGAAGGCCCGGGTAAACTTTATTACCCATGAGTTGAACCCACAAATGAATCCACTAGAAGCGACAAGCAAGCGGAAGCGGATCATGCCAAGCAATGGATAGCTAGTCTGTCAGCGAAGACAGTCTCTACTTAAATCAGACGGCTCTTCGTGCGGCCCCGCCAAATCTGCCTGGGGATGCACCTTATACAAAGCAGGCCAAATGATAGGGTCAGAATCAGGTCCCAAGCCCGGAGTAGAGGTTTACGACGCAGAGCTGTTAGGAATCCAGAAAGCCATGGAAGAAGCCATAGAGAAGGCAAACGGAGGCCCAGTAAAGGTACTTCTGGACAAGCCTAATGCCGCGCGAGCTCTGCGAAGCGTTCGAACAAGATTATCTCGGTCTATGTTTGACGAATTTACGACTCAGGCAGCCCAGTTTCCATCAGTCGAAGTGTGTTAGATACCGGGATATTCTGGGATTACCGGAAACGAGCAGGCGGACAAGTTGGCCAAGGCAGCTCTGAGAGACCTCTTAGACTTGAGAGGTGAGCAGAAATACAGCTTTGCAGCGCTGAACCGGCTCGTCCGAGAGCAGGCCGAGAGCAGAGCGAGAAAGCTGTGAAGTCCTGGTGACTTGAGTACAGACCAAGTCGGTACGAAGAATTAGACCTCCTAATGGGACGAAAACAACCACACGAGCTTGGATTGCCGAGGTAGGCGTACCATCGTCTAATAGCGGTGAGGACAGGACACAGGAATTTCAAGGGCAATCATGAGAGATTAGGGAATGAAATTTTCGACGGCAGATGTATCTATAGAAGAGAGAGATGTCCTTAGCACTTTGCAGAGTGCCAAACGGCTCTGTGATAATGGAGAATGTACAGACATGAACCACCACCAAGAAGTCGGGCTATGTTGGCAGAAATCGGATGTGAGGAATTCTATAAGTATGTAACCGTAACGAGATGCTACGCAGGGCAATCTTCACATGGAGAGGGCTAAACCTTCCCGACGGACTGGAATATCTCTAGCAGTTGAATATGAAAGCGGGCAAGGCGCAGGGTGGTTTTTGTCTAGGCAATTTTCTTTATTTCATCTTTTCATGCACCTACTCAGCCTAGAAAGCTGGACAGATAGGCAGTAGTGAGTATTTAGGGATCACACATCCGTATCATGCCTCTTGGATGTAGGGCTATGTGTTACGGGAATACTCCCTTGTGTGTGTACTGTCTGCGCCAGTACGGTAGAGATGGAATCTAGGGTCTAGTCAGCTATAGGGACTACCAAGGGTGGAGATTGGAAACTGTTGCTAAGCAACGGAGGCTGTTATTTTTTTTTTTTTTAAATCATTAAGTGTATGCAGCCTAACTAGCTATGACACTATATACATATTTATCCTTTTGAACCCACTCATCATCTCATACCACCATTTTATGCATATTTCAATAGGAAGAAAATTCTTGACAAGTAAACCATATTTAATCAGTTGGTATATTTCTATCTTCCTCAACCTTTCCCCAAGATAGGCAGCGAACGGAGGCTGTTAAGGCCAGTGTCGTTAATTAAAATCCCTTATGTAAATAGCAAGAGGTAAGAGATCTTCCTTCTGTAGATTTCGTTAATTGCCTGATTTTATTCTGGACTTGCTCTGCTATATACCAACACCAGTTGATCCGGCGACACTATGGCCTAATATGAAATTTATACATACATATATACATACTCACTTATGGCATACCATCGCCGTTGTAACTATCCATACGCTCCTATGGAGTGCTCTTGCGGGAAGGAAACTACTCCAACCCACTTCATCCACTGTGACCACCACGCACAACACACGCGTAGGCTCCGAAAGTCTATGTCCCACGTTGACTTTACCAAAAAGTTTCTCGGGCCCAATAGCCACGAAAGCTTCAAAATATTTGCAGAGGAAACTGGCTGTTTTGGTAGCCAACCTACCCACTCATCCACTGCTCTCAGCGGGGATCGGAGAAACTAGTCAATGCCACAACGCATGATACGAAAGGGATCGGAGCAAGAAGTGTCGTTTCTCTGAGAAAAATACGCGTAACCAGATCTGTAGTCTATTCCATTGTATCCCGCCATGAGACATTACACCCTAGCCCATGACATTGCTAGACATCAATGAATATAAATAGACTCATACCCTTCAGCAAAGATCAAGAGTTTTGATCAAGCTTTTACTATGAATATAATTTACATCTACTCTTTGAAGTTTATACTTCGTTTATTCCGTGATCGCTCGAAGAGTTCTGCATATTCTTAGCTTATTTTCAATAGGTACGGCTGGCAGGTGATGACAATAGTGTTGTGATGTGATTATTGCATTTACTCTAAATTTATCTCTGCCAAGTGCCAGGGATACAACACATCTATGCGAGTACTGCACAGCCCTACATGGCTATCATTACGATGGACTATTGAGGCGCAGCTCTATACAATGGCATAGAGTAATGTGGGATAGTATTGCATAGAATTAAGATTGTAGTACTTCATGCATAGACGGTGATGTACTGTATCGCGGGTGCCAAATATGTGTATATAAGTCCTATCTACTACTGTGATATGTAGAATAATATAACCAAGCTATTCATCATATCGTCAAGCTCTGATAATCCTTATCCACCCTCTGCACTATCCCTAGAATATTCAACATCTCATATCTACTCATACCTTAATTACAACAAATAGCTCCCGTGAGTTCAAGAGTTAATGGGCGTGCAGAGCTACGATTCGAGTAAAGAGGGCTTCAAAATTTTTTACAAGGTACAATTCTACATATGAGCGGTGTATGAGGTGATCTTACCGTTCAAGCAGGACGAGAAATATTGTCAAGTTAAAACCTGGTTATATTTCTAAATTCTGAGAGAGCGCAGTCACTGTAAACGTCCCAGCACGAAAAATGGCATAGAAGTACGTGTATAAATATAAACTATTACTTAGGACTAAAAATTTGCACAAGCTATGTCAGTTCACCACTAAATCATTAAGGTCGCTCCTCACGCAGAACAACAAAATACGAATGGGGCCTTATAGAATACAAGTCAAGCTCACCCAATATAAAAAGAGGAAGAGGGACGGTTCGAAGATATATCTATCAATAGCTACAGAGTAATTAAATGCTGCCGGTTCACTTCCCCACACAGATTGCCTCTAGTATGATCTGAATAGAAATCTGGAACCCCTTTCATGCGGGTTAGCTCATATTCTGGCGTCTATTTTTATTCTTCTGATACGGAATAATTTATAACTGAAATGAACCCCAAAGTTGAATCTGGTCGATTTCGACCAGATAAAAATATACATCAATAAGCGTCATTGATTCTACACGCTAATCAGACCTTCCCTTTGAACCACGGAGAATACGCCGGCAGCAGGAGAGAATCCCAGAAGCCTTATAGTGCCTTTACGACACTATCTATGTAGCCAGTTATGTTGCCAAAAAATTGTGAAACATCTACTTCAGAGAAAGTGAGCAATAAAGGTGGCTTCTTATCATAAAGAGAATCCACAAAGAGAGGCCTGGAAAAAGCTTCGATATTAGCCTATCTTAACACGAATATCATTGTCATCTGCGAGAAAAAAACTGGCGACGTAGCACTTGACTGTGGGCGGTCCAAACTTATATTCAACTGGTATACAACATAAAAATTTCAATTCAATTAAGATAATGTTAAAATAACGACCCAAGGAAGGAGGAAACATGAAAAATAGTATTGAGAATCTCGCCTCCCCAAACTCGAGTTTCTATGGCAGGAACGATGCTATCCATGAAAGCCCACCCTCCCCGGATTTAATTGAGATTGTTTTTGGTATGACCATGTTATCTCAAACCTTCTAACCACCACAAATACTGTTCCTAACTCATGTATCTTTAACGCCACAGATCATAGGAGTTTTTTCTCTCGATCCGCCTCTGTCCTAGTTTTTTGAGTATAATTTTAATGAATCACATACCACCATCGAACCGTAGTTGATTCTACACCTACACTGTAACTTGGCATAAACTTCACACGCGTTTAGACAGAATTTCAGCTAAGATTCCGCTCCATTGCAAATAAATCTAAAAGGCTTACGTTTTATACCTTCATGGGTACCAGAAGAAATCTATGAGGAGCTTTAAATAGCATCTTATCAGCCTCTTCCTTCTCCAGAAGAGTAAACTAGAAATATTTCCCAGAAAATTCTGGCTCAGAACGTTTCACAAAATTCTAAAGACAGGGAGACAAGAAATCAAATTTTGAGAGATATTTATCCAAAGTCTCAGCTTGGGTTGGTTCGAAACGATTTAAATACCATCTCACAGGAACCAAGCCTACTAGACCTCGGACAATATATGATGGCTTGCATGAATACATCAACAATATTAGAGCCTTTAACTAGTGCTTCATCGGAGTCTAAGGAGGTTATTGCATATGGGCCAAAAATTAGCAATCATATATCGCAAATATCTCAGCCAACTATACAAACCCCAACTCAATTCACAACAATGCAGACCAGGTCTTCCGAAACTGATATGATCGGGAAAGAATCACATGAAATCTCCACAAAAATGATACTGAGCCCCTCAAAGCCCATCTCGGGGAGTATTAGTACCCATACATTATCTCCTCGTCCCTCTGGCAATTTTTTAGTCGGTGAAGCTACTAAAATACATATCTCTCCAGCAAATTCAGGGTCAAAATTTCCAGATTGCTGTATTGACTCCTCTGGTGGAGCTAATGAAGTACAAGAATCCTCATACATGAACTTCGGAAATAAGAAGTCAGGGCGTAGCAGTAATTTTGGAGTGTTTAGATCTTTTAGGATAACTACACCTAGCCCCAAGGCTCAAGCCAATTCAAATATAACCAAGCCAACAATGATTGGCTCACCATCAGTCTCTGGTGCTTCATTGGCAACAAGCTCTTTGACAGTGGCAGATAAATTCCCGACCAATAGCCCGACTCTGTTAGTTGAGAAATCCTCAACAGGAAATGAAACTGTTGCTATGAGTCCAGTTGTTAATCCTGATGTACCAGATTCGAGTCTATCTCCAGCCATAGATACGACAATAACAGTCAGCCAGTTTCCCAATTTAAATACAGCCGAGGAGGAAAATGCATCCTCAGCTAATGACACGATTATTATCATTGGATCATCTTCAAATTCGGAGACACAAAGTTCAAGTTCATCTCCAGCTATAGATACGACGATAATAGTCAGCCAGTCCCCTAATACTGATGTAGCCAGCGTAGAAACCGCACCGTCAGCTAATGACATGATTATTACCATTGGTTCGTCTTCAAATACGGAGGCACTAAATTCAAGTTTATCTCCAGCTTCAGATACGACAATAAGAGTCAGCCAGATTCCTAATATTGATGTTTCCAGGGGAGAAAGTGCAGCGTCAGCTAGTGACACAGTTATTACCATTGGCTCGTCTTCAAATTCGGAGGGACTAAGCTCAGGTTCATCTCCAGCTATAGATACGACGATAACAGTCAGCCAGTCCCCTAATACTGATGTAGCCAGCGTAGAAACTGCAGCGTCAGCTAATGACATGATTATTACTATTGGTTCTTCTTCAAATACGGAGGCACTAAATTCAAGTTTATCTCCAGCTACTGATACGACAATAACAGTGAGCCAGCTTCCTAATAGTGATACTGATATAACCAAGGGTGAAAGTTCATTGTCAGCTAATAACACAGTAATTATGATTGGCTCATCTTCAAATTTTGAGACACCAAAGTCGAGTTCGTTTCCAGCTACAGACATAGAAATTAAGCAAGGTCAGCTTCCAAATATCGACAAAGCCATAGAAGGCTCATCATCTACTCCAAATACAAAAGATATGACTAGCTGGCACCGGGATGTTGATGAGAGTATAAAAAGTTTTACCAACAAATCTTTGCTCGATACTGTTCTCGAGCAGTCTCCAGAGATTACTCAAAGCCCTACCATTATACTAGCTACAGTAGGCGATAATGGCTTAAATTATGTTCCCCAAAAGATTGTGCCTACTAATGCGATTGTTGGAACCGGGAAAAAAACCTTACGAAGAGGGTATAGAATGACGCGACGGGCTTTAATGAGAAAACAAGTTCTTACTTTACTCGTAGGAAGAGAATTAGCTGGGCCAGCAAAAGAGCTCATTAAGAGGTCCATAGATACCAACAACATTGTTTGAGTGAAGGACTCTGCCTTAAAGCCTCTTGTGTCTAATAATATTGGATCAGAGCTTACGTAAATTTAAAGAGTGATTTATACTAGTTCTACCTTGCTAAAACTGGATTTGTCTTGAGTATCAGCAAAGTATGGCAATACATAAAAGACTGTACTCGAGTCTAACATTAGCTCCCACAAAGGATAGGTAGATAAAATGCCAAGAATAAAAAGGCTCGTTAGAAACGATTCGGATGCCATTTTTATAGTGATAGAAACTTTTGGCTATTCTTATGAAGATACTTTACAGGGCTTTTATGATTTTTATTGCCATGCCGACCAAGAATCGTCCATAAATTCCTTCTCGTTAGACCCAGTATATTTGGTTGCGATTATATCTACCCTTTCTTTTGCTCGGGTCATGCCCGTCTCGACATTTTGTATAATCTGCTCCCTCGTTTCCACCAACTTTAAAAGTGTTTCTACCATCTCAAAGCTTTCGCCTGGCTGGTGAAGATTGTGAATATTCGAAACATGAAAGGGTTTATTCTAACTTACGGATTTGTTCCCAAGGCTAGATTCGAGTCTTTCCCTGTCTGTAGTTGTCTGCTTGAGAAGGAAGCCAGCTGCAGACCCGGGTGAGGGAGAGACGCTAGGATCCGGATGGTGAGACTCTTTCGGGGTCGCACGAGACGCATTTGCACGTTTCTCATGGGCAGTAAGTAAGGCCAAGGCGGGGTCAGACGGCTAGCATGACAGGCAACCACTTCAGCACGGAACCTATTGGAGAAAAGAACTGCTACATACTGTTGCCTGAAGGTTCTGGAGGTCAGCCAGAAGCTGCGTGGTTAGGAGGAAGACTTGATGAGCCATTTTCCGCACGTCGTTGGCTGTCAAGTGCTATTGTATGGAATCCTATATTCGATTGAAACCGCAGCGCTCATGCTGCGTCTTCTCCCGGAACTTGGCTTAGTCATAACTTGTGATTCCCATATTGTCACCTTGGCCCGAACGAGGCTGTTTCGCAACCCGCACGCCTCATGAACGTCGTGGTTTAATTTAGGCTTCTCTACGTCTGGACTAGATCAGATACTCATAATATATCGTGTGACGGGGTCGATTAATTTGAGCTAATCATTTCCTGCGATTCTTGCATTGTCTTACATAGACAAAATTACAGTCGAGATATGAGCCTCCCTAGTGGACCCATTACATCGACACAATATCAAACAGCAGTTTGTTTTCATTCATGTGCAGATGATAAGGCAATGGTCAATGACAATTGTATAAGGATTCGTTCATATCGAGCGAGTAAGCATCATATGATAGCTCAATTCACGGTTCTAATCATTTCCATAAAAAGATGTTAAGATTCTGATATACTACTTGATAAGCAATAGATTCAATATAGCCCTACACGTGGTGCAATTTAGAGACACCTTCCCACGAGCCATGACCGGATTCTCCCCTTATATATCTTTCCAATATCAACAGTTGACCATACCAAGCCTGATAGAATTTTCCTCTTGTCCTCATTAACTCACAAGTATGCAGGGGTTCAGGGCGATATCTAACATTCGCGAATGACGATCAATGGTATACATCTGGGGTACTAGACCAGTTGGTAGCCGTCGTCATGTGTTAAAAATCTAGCGTATTCGAAGTTTGAAGAATTCACAGTTGCCCTAACCTCTTTATGTAAACTCTACATCCTTAAGCATGCCACCATCACTCCATCAGCGATCAAGTTGTAAGTACGGGCTCATCAAGACCAAGGACAAGAGGGTACATTTAATTTCGGATTTTGATTTGATTCGCTATTCGTCGTCCTTTGAATCTGTGAGCAAGTCTTCTTTCTCTGGTTCGGCAGTATTTTCATCTTTTATATCAGCAGTTTCTCCATTTTCAGCCTCTCCGCTGTCCGACGAAGTCCAGAGAGTTAGGTTATCTCGGAGTAGTTGCATGATTAAGGTGCTATCTCTGTAGGATTCTTCGGATAAAGAATCAAGTTCCGCGATGGCATCGTCAAAAGCTTGCTTTGCTAAGTGACAGGCACGATCTGGAGAGTTAAGAATCTCATAATAGAATACAGAGAAGTTAAGTGCGAGTCCCAGGCGTATGGGGTGTGTTGGCATTAGCTCGGTTTGAGCAACATCAGTGGCATTCTAAGTTCACTTTAGATATATGCTTATAAATTGTTATAGCACTTACCTTATACGCCTCATGAGCGTCGGTAGCGGCGCCTTTGCGAGTTGCCCCAGATGAAAACTCAGCCAAGTATCGATGATAGTCACCTTTCCTGTAGGAGCATTATTTGTTAGCTGGAATCTTCGTCAATTTTTCTCTTGCTGCGTTGACACACATTTTATGATAAAACACCTTCGACTCCCCAGTCTCAGCTTTCGGTATCAAACAAGTCTCTAGCACATTTAGAACATCTTTGCACACTTTTTCTAGTTCTGTTTCAATCTTTTGACGATAATCTCGGATAGTCGAAATGTGCTTTTCGGTTCCCTTGGTTTCCTCTTTTTGCTCAATTGAAGATATTATACGCCAGGAAGCACGTCGAGTTCCAACCACATTCTTATAGGCCACAGAGAGTAAATTTCTCTCGTCTACAGTCAACTCGCCGCTCATCTGTACAACACAATCGTTATTATCTGGTGTTAAAACGATCAAGATTACAGTAAGGGTTTCCTCATACTTCCGCAACTTCCTTCATAAATGTAACCATCTCATCGTAGCGTTCGGCTTGTTCACACAGCCTTGCTAGGAAAGTCTTACTGTGTAGACTTATTAGCAGTGTGATGAATGCTTTGCTAGGCAAATGAAGCCGAACCTTTCACGCTGTAGTCACAAAAAAGTCAGCCATTGATTGAAAGACATTTCTACAGGTTATTTGATTTGCAATGAATTAATGTGAAATCTAAAGTCAGATGATTACTCAGGCCGTGTTGAAATCGACTTGTGAGCTTTCAGGGAATTTGATAGGGGTTAACACTCACTTCAACCGCCATTTTGAGATATACTTAGTAAACTAGAATTCGATTGGAAGTCAAGGTGTATTCGAGAGACGCACGAGATGCTTTCTGGGCGTGATTGGTAAATTGGATGTGGATGATGTGGATAATGAGGAGGTTCAGGTCGGGGTAATTTACAGTGTTGTTGAGCTCGTACGGACGTCAGGTGGAGAGTCGCTTAATGTCATTTGGTAGGGGGAAAATTCACCGACAGGGACCGGGGCCTTTACGAAGCAAAAAGGTGAGAGAAGACACAAACACGTTTCAGGCAATGAGACGTTACAGGCGTGCAGGCACGGCGAAACTGACAACGATTGCAAAAAGTCAAATTTAGCCCTATCTTTATGGAAGAAACGCTCAAAGGCTGGATTGTTAGCAAGTATTTGGAGTGGAGACTGGTTGCTATATGTTCTCTTCATCACCCCCAACGCGAGTATTAGGATCTATACATGATGACATCATGTGACCTTGGCCATGATTTTGCCATGCCATGACTAGGACGATCGGTACATTTTACTAGATTCTACCTGACCCACGTATCCTTCGAGCATTCAGTTGAGCAATGAGGCCGGCCCAGTTTCGTAGAACTCGTTTTCAACTACAAATGAACGATTTCCTCTACACATGCTCTTTCTAGGGCAGGTTTGTTCGAAAACTATGTCATGATTTCAGGCAGGGGTGTGAAAAGAAACCTGAAGTCGACATTTTCAAACTGCTGGCCGAGCTATCTACAAGTGTCCTCTTTTCGTACAAACAGAAACGCAGAAACACACCTGCTACACCCATCTGGAAGGCCAAAAGTTGTTGAATCAGCACAATCGCAATAGTAAAAGAAATGGGGTTAAAGAGCTCCATTTATCAACTCGTAGTGCTCCTAACACATTTGGCATTCCTAGCCGTCCAGAAATTGTTTCTTTAGAGGTGGCAGAATAGCTTCTTAAGCTGACATCTGTGCCACATGATTAAACCGCACTTTATGAATATGGCGCAACCCAGCGCTTCATGACACAATATTCAATTTCAAGGGAAGTCGAGTAAATTGTTTCCAAAGCTTGCCTGAAATAGAGCACGAACCAGTGCTGCTTATTTTATCCACAAAATTGCAATAACTGAAGGTACCTAATGGGAGCCTTGAAACGAATGAAGTATTTCCCTAGCTTCCGATCGGCTGTGATGCCTGAGGTTCTGAACGATTTACTCATTTCAGCTTGGACTGAGACTTACCCACTTTTGTTTTATTATTTTATCAAGTCATGTGATTTTATCTTTGCAGCTCTGCATGGAATAGAACCTTCGGATCAGCGCTGAATGAAAACTGGAGCACTGGGTATCCCATGTGCCTAGGGCGGGTCGCTCCTTCCACGGAATTCCCAACATAAGCATGGAAAATAAGGAACCAGAGATGATGAGCAGCTGGACTCATATAACTGTAGTGGAGATCAAACTATTGCTCTAGCTCTACGTTACTGGGCTCAAATGAATTTTGACAGATTCAATGGCTCCCACTACAATGTAAGTTAGATAATGCTACATTGTGTGCATGTGTTTATTGTACTACTTGATTCATAGACTATCTAGCACATTAGGCTCCACCCTAGCCCAGGCCACACCATGTTCAGTGCTACTTGTCTCTGATTTTTCTTCAAATATCATTGGTATATTGCCCGTGATGAATAGCCACTTAGCTCAGTATTTTACTGTAGAGTTCAGCGACCTTCTACCAACAAAAATGGTAGAAATGAAAACTGCTTTCGCGAAAAAGTCCCAAAACCCTGCAGCCACAGCCAGGCGAGGCTGAGAGATCGGGACCATATGAGGTGCACATATCCATCTTTATCTTCCTTCTTTCTGACACTAGAGGTCAACTTGATCCAATCCACAATCTCCGTATCGGGTGCTGGGTATGCCCCGATAACTCATCCGATGCCTTTTTCTCCATGATCAAGTGTTGGTGATGAGAAGGGCTTCGATCCTACCATCTGATCTGATCGCGGTTAGCTTCATGATAATGGTGACAGGGGGATGTGTTGAGAGATGAAGACGATACAGACGGAGAAAACGATTGAGAATACTCATCGAAGTGAGGACTTTGTTACTCAATCTCGGCTCTGCAGATTCAACAGGGAGAGCTGAAGGTTTGTAGGAGACACCACGGATAGGTGCTGAGAATAGTTCCCCACTGAAGGGTATCACTCCTGTTAGAGATAGGATGCATGGAATAAATACTATTGGTATAAATTTGAGGGCTTATCTAGTATTTTCTGGTAAATACTAGTCTGAATAGTTATCGATCACGGACGTTGGATCAATTTTCTTTCAATTAAAAAAAGAAGAGAGGAGCACTGTACAAGGTATGGCCTGGATCAGAATGGAGCTTAATATGCTAGATATTCTATGGCTTAAGGAGTACAATGGAAACATCACATCAAATCCAAAAATCTAGCAAGAAAAAATAGAATAAAGGAATGCGTAAGCTTGGTGGAATGAACCTATTTCGCGATGATATTAGTGGGATCTACCATGAGGCACGTACGGGGAGGTTTGATTTAAATACTGTATCTTGTCTCGGCTACGGAGGGCAAGATTGAACACCTGTACGCGATGTCCTCTACGAACCGGGGAGTGAAATATTCTTCCAAAGCCGAGTTCATTCAAATTCTGCGATACGATAGAAGTTGGCCCACGAGTCAGTGATTCAAAATGCTCCACCACATTAATCTTTCACTCCCAGCAAGATCGATCCCTATCTAAGTCTCATCAAGTCTACAGGTTCGACCCAGTACATCTTCATTCAAATGACCACACCTCTTGTCGACTTTCTCTGGCCTCAGCCGGTCGCCAAATTCACGCCCATGCCGATATTTACGCCCGACAGAGGAAGCAAAGCGTGGCGCACAAATCTGGGAGACAGTTATTTGGGATGGACGTGAGAGTTATCAGGACAAGTTGATCAGATGATGCGAAGGATGGATAGAATTTTAACGGGCTTGAAACATTGAATTGCGGCAAGGAGGTTTACCAATTGAGCTTTGTGCGCGCCAAGACTTCGCTTGCGAGAGTGCAGCTGACGCTATAAAAACAAGCAAACGATGATAGGTGTTTTTGACCGCCTTCTGGTGTTGTTCTCTGGTATGGTTTGAGTAGCCTGAGCACCTACTCTATTTGGGATGGAGATACCTAAAATCACATTTCGCGCGGAGAAAAGTTAATGGATGACGGAGGCATGTCTGGACAGCCCAGGGTTTTTGAGAGGTTTCCCTGGGCGGGTATTCACGGATGAGAGTTGACTTGAGGTGAAGAAAAAGCCATCAAAGCTTTGCAGTGGTACTTGCAAATGAAATCTGAGGCATGAGTGCCCTCCTTTTATATTGATCCATCTTTTCTGTACTATTTTTTCGATATTGTGTCATAGAGAGATAGCTACATATGCCGGCACAGACGAACTCTTCACCTTCCAGTGGTGCGGGTGTAATTGCTCAGTATCCTCTGCATATCTGGGATAGCTAAGAAGAATCGCATCCGGATCGAAGTCGAAAGCTAACACATCCATATCTCCATTTGACGATTTCTCAATCACGCAGCACTCACCATTATCTTCTGAGTTCTCAACCTCGATCTAACCATATATCATCTCGCCTCAATGGCCAATAAAGAAGTTGCTCCAATTTCAAACAGGAGCTTGCCCTATTAATTACTAGACATCACCCACTACAAATTTTTAACGCTATTTATACCCGCAAAGAGGAAATTAGGTCGAAAAATACAAAGCCTGGGTCCTGGCTTATGGGGGACTGTTTCTCTATTGTGACAAACAACTTGAAAGAGGACAGGCGGCTGAGATATGGTGCGAGAGAGGGAAGATATCTCCGAAGCCCATGCTGGGACTGATATTTTCGAAGTGTTTCCGACTTTGGATTGTTTGTGGGCGCCAAGATTAGGATTACGGCCTAATAACCAGGAGGACTTCTTTTGTCGATGAGCCAACGGCACTCTCCAGCGCCCTGGACGGTACAAAAGAAGTTGAGCTAAGCTGCCATACAGCAATCACGCTCTGTCAAGACTTTTCTGAAATTTTAGCACGAGCTTCGGGAAGAAGGTTTGAAAGGAGGCTAGAAAGGCAGAAGGTTAATTTCCCGAAGTATCCACAAGTTTGCAGCACCCAGCTGGCCGGCTTCTTCGAACGCTTCAGAAGGGTCACTATGTTTTCGGATCTAGTGCTAATGTTGGTATTAGGAGAGCTCCGCTCCCAGTGGTTTTTTCGATTTTTCCCGGCTGCCATACACCCGCAAATGGCCATCATTTCGTTGGCTGGAGAGAGGAGATAATAAATGGCCAAGAGCTTCTCTTAGTGTATGATTGAATGAGGACTTGTGAGGGGTGGCACTGTTTGAGGGGAGCTGTATGGGAGGCACAGGAGTCGATATCATACTGGCATAGGTATTCTTGGCCTGTAGGCAGAGAGGACCTGCGTGTCCTACATAGTCATAGACTCAGAATGTATAATAATAATAAAAAAAGATAGCTGCATACGTAATTAAGATTTAGTGCAAAAATGGTCTCGGCAAGGAATGTTGAAGGCAGAAGAGCGAGGTAACCAAGCCGTTTGGTTTGACTTCTCCCCACTCTATGCCGCACGAATTTCCCTGATGTGGCAAACAATTGACAACACTTGTTGCCCAAAATCTGGATGCGAAAGAGTCTTAATTAGATGATT